AAGGATCGTTCATGCATTCTTGATTCCATCAGGAGTTGAAATAGACGCCCATCTCTTACACAGAAATGCTGAACAATAGTACTGTCATGGCTTGATGGCTTTGCATTGTAGCGAGAAAATCTGAAACTGCTATCAGCAGATTGTCTTGAGCACTTTCCAAGGTTATCTAAGGTCCAAGAGTTGCCGTCTTCATAACTGAAATTTTTATTTTTCCTTTCTTAGATATTGAACATGGACATAGTCAACATGTTCTGAATGCTTTCTATGTGTTTGATGCTGTTCTAAGTTCTTTATCTATATTAACTCATTTTCTCCTCACCATAACCCTGAGGAGTGGCTCTACTTAACAGATGGGATACTGAGGTACAGAGAGGCTATGAAACTTACCCACAGTCATGACACTTAATTATTGGTAGAAGCAGGATTCTAACCCAGTTAATCTGTCTTCAGTGCTCATACTCAGTAACTTGGCAGAATAGCCTATGAGTGGGCCACTGTATTCTTGTTTGGAGATGGGAGTTACTGTCGTGCATTCACAGCGATCTCTGTGAAGGGACAAAACAGATTACCTTTTTCGGTCAAGGTGCAAGGCCATGGGAAGTCAAGAACAGTCTGGGAAGAAATGGAGACTGTGTCATGAGGTTCCTAGGACAGAGCTTCCAAACAGGCTCATCTGCGTTTGAGGGAAGTTCAGAGGAACTCTTGGTGGTGGCGAGGGGAGAGAAGGAAGCATATCCATTGCAGGGTTCCCAAGCATCTTGATCTGCCCATGTATCCCCAGTCTCAACTCTGATGTAGGAATTACATTTGGGGCTTCAAATCCAGCAGAACATAAGGCCTTTATTTGTATACTACATATTTATTTGTATATTTGTGTACTTTTATATTTGTATACTACATATTTGTATACTACACATAAAAAAAAAAGGGTTGTTAAATGGAATGGTTTTCCTAAGTCTCAGGGAGAGTACCCAGAATTAAAAATGAAACTGTCTAATGTGTGTTTAAAAAGAAAAGCCTGTCTGAAATTTGAAGTCGGTGGTCTACGGAATTGTCCTTGGTGAGTGTGTTGGTAGCTCCTTGGCTGACAATGGTACAAAATGTGACCTTTGTGTTTGGAGACCTTTTCACTCTTGAGTGCCCACATTGATAGGTACTTGGACTTGGGGTTTCATGACTTTAGGGGCTGCCACAGTAAGTTCTGGGGTTATGTCTAGGCATAGGACCACAATTATTCTGTTAAATAAAAATTATTTTGACATTTGTAAAAATGATAAGGAAGACTTTATTCAGGACTATCACAACAGGTGTAAAGACTATGTCAGTAGACGAGAGAGATCTGGGTCAACTCTAAATACAACAAGAACAAGTGGGAATTTATGGCCAAGAAGCAGGATGTGGGGCATTGGGTGGATGGAAAATGACTAAGAAGAGACATTGATGGGAGTAGGATTCTTGCTGAAGAAAGGTGGGGGATGAGGAATTTGAACAAATACTGAGGGTAGGGGATTCTTTCTAGACTGACTTAGTAGAATCCTTGCTAAAACTAGACTCTGCAGGCCCAGCAAGGGTCAGGGACAAGGTGGACGCCTAGTCAAGAAGAGGGCTTGAAGGAGCCTGACTCAAATTTGGTCAAGGAGGGAGAATTTATCAGTTCCTATTGCTTGATTAAATGTAAGGACTCAAGTATTAGACTTGATCTCACGCAAGAGACACTGTTAGGTGAAGTATAGAGTGAATTCCAGAAAAGTCTATTTTCTTATTGGTGTAGACATCTGTGACTGGGTTGACATAAATGATCAGAGTAGCTCTGAGAGATGGGATCTTTAAGATTTTCCTGATGCTGCACTGTGAAGTGGATTTATTTTTATTCATTAGACTTAAGTAGGGTTTATTAAGTGCCAGACATGGTTCTAAACGCTTTGCAAATATTAACTCATATAATCCTCAAAACAATTCTATAAGATGGTTATGCCGTCTTCCCGTTTTATATATAATTATGTATTGCTTAACAACAAGAGCACATTTTGAGAAAAACATCCTTAGGCTGTTTTGTCATTGTACAAACATCATGGAGTATACTTACACAAGCCCAGATGGTATAGCCTACTACTTACCTTTCCATACGGTGAAGTAGGCTATCCCACCTAGGCTACAAACCTTTACAGCATGTTACTGTACTGAATACTGTAGGCAGTTGTAACATAATGGTAAGTATGTATATCTAAACATATCCACACATAGAAGAGGTACAGTAAAAATATGGTATAAAAGATTTAAAAAGAGATGCACCTATGTAGGGCAGCTACAATATAGTCTAGTGGAACTACTGTGGTGTATGTTGTTATGCAGTGCTTGACTGTGTGAGGAAACAGAGGCCCAGAGGAGTTAAATAATTTGTCCAAGGTCACATAGCAAGTAAGTGGTGGGGCTTGGATTTCCACCCAGGCAGCCTGGCTCCAGAGTCTGCATTCTTAATCACTTGGTTAGGTTGCATCCTGGGCTGTTGACTCCCGGGGATTTACTTCTTATTATTCTGGGCTTTTCTTTTTCTACCCATAAATAAAGAATTCTTTTTCTAGGTTTAGTCAGACTCTGGGCCTTGTTCAGACTGAAGTCAGGATTGGAAGGTGTGTTTAACTTGAGTCTCGAAGTTATTTGTAAACAGCCTTTCAGGTCATCTTTTACCTTCTTGACCAAAATCGTTAGTTTATTGATAAAAACACATTTTCTACTTTTCCACAGTTTGTGCAGAATATTATTAGTGACTCTTTCTAATCAACTGTTGGCTTTTTGCCCTTCACCAGCAAGCTCAGAAGCATTCCTTTTTTTTTTCCATTCTTTCTTTCTTTTTTTTTTTTTTTTTTTTTTGAGGAAAAAATGCTCCATTAGCTGAACAATGAGAACACATGGCCACAGCGGGGGAACAACATACACTGGGGCCTGTTTGGCCAGGGGGAGGTGTAGGGGGATGGAGACATCAGGATAAATAGCTAATGCATGCTGGGCTTAATACCTAGGTGATGGGTATTAATACCTAGGTGATAGGTGCAGCAAACCACTATAACACACGTTTACCTATGTAACAAACCTGCACATCCTGGCCATGTATCTAGAACTTGAAATAAAATAAAATAAAAATGCTCCATTTATGGTCAGTGAGTGGTAGTTCCTTGATAAAGGCTTTGGTAAACTGGCTTTCAGATAATACACATCTGCCACCAAAACTCTCTTAAAGCAGTAAATCTCTACTGTATAGAACTGACCAGATTCATTTTCAGTATTTATAGTGTCTTTAAATTTTGGTTAAATTAGTCAAACTGGCATTTCAAAGGATTCTGGTTAATATAATACAAAATCAAAGTTATATAATGTTATATTTGGAAACTCATCAGGGTTCAATGGAACCTCACCTTACGGATTTTTTGCTTAACTTTTAATTGCAGATCTGTCTATGGCAGTGCAGAAATTTTCCCAGTCATTACAAGATTTCCAGTTTGAATGTATTGGTGATGCTGAAACAGATGATGAAATTAGTATTGGTAAGTACTACTGTTTTAGAAAGTTCTACTTCTAATATTTATTTTACTGAAATCAAATAGACACACACCTAAATAATAAACATCTAAAATATTTTCTGACTTTGACGATACTATAAGGGTGATTTCGGGTTTCTATGGAAGAATTTTTTATTTTTTATTTTTTTTTTGGGAGACAGTCTTGCTCTGTCACCCAGGCTGGAGGGCAGTGGTGCGATCTCAGCTCACTGCAACCTCTGCCTCCCACATTCAAGCAATTTTCCTGCCTCAGCCTCCCAAGTAGCTGGGATTACAGGTGACCACCACCACGCCCAGCTAATTTTGTTTTTGTATTTTTAGTAGAGACGGGGTTTCACTACGTTGGTCAGGGTGGTCTTGAACTCCTGACCTCATGATCCACCCACCTCAGCCTCCCGAAGTGCTGGGATTACAGGTGTGAGCCACCGTGCCCAGCTGGAAATCTTATTAATTGCAGGTCTTGGCTTGCATGTAAGATTCTCATTTCTAATAGATTTGAAGGTGATGTTCATGCTCCTAGTTCATGGACCACGCTCTGAGAAGCTGGGATTTATAATCCCCTTCATACCTCTCCACAATCACATACCTCTTCTTCCTCTGCCCTTTCTTTTTCTTCTGTAGTTCTACCAGTTATGTCTGTATTTCTAGACAGTATATTTCATTAGCTTTGACTATCTAAGTAGCAAATCCTAGCACAGACCTCGCTGTGAAACAAAAGGGCAATGTTACCCCCACAAAAAAAGGCTCTCAGGAGAAGTTAAGCTGAATGAGTTTCGGCTTCAATGTGTGGCTTTAGCTTGCCTGTATTCACAAGAGCTCCTTTTGGAGAAATCGCTGGGCAGGGTACAGAGTCCTTAGACAAGCTCTCTGCGTATGAAATTTACACGATACATACATCATTGTGATCATATTGGCAGTCTTTCTGAGCAGATACATGCCAAGTGGTCACTCTCTTTGCTTGCTTTTTTAGGAGTGTTAATTAATTTGAGGGAAGGGTGGAGGGACTGGTCTCCTTCAGCCCTCAGTTTTGTGATGAAAGATGGTCCCAGCCATGCCTGTCACTTGCCTGAGGTATAGTTAAAGTGCGTCCAGGAGTAAGGGAGAGCCCTCCCACATGCATGACATCTTCCTCCTCACAGGAGAGCTGGGGAAGGGCAGCATTAGGGATCATGCACTGCCAACATTTGGAACAATAGTGGTCATTTTGCTTGTCATTTCTTGACATTTGTGTTATAAATGTCTGGTCCTCAACATAGGCTTTGTAGTATACACTTAGCCAGGTAAAAGCATAGATTATATCACTAAAATACAAATATATTAGCATTATTATTTAGAAAAGCTACACCCACATATTTACATAACAGTTATTTTCACTTAGTTGTTTATTTATTTTGAGACAGAGTCTTGCTCTGTCACCTAGGCTGGAGTGCAGTGGCATGATCTCGGCTCACCGCAACCTCCGCCTCCTGTGTTCGAGTGATTCTCGTGCCTCAGCCTCCTGAGTAACTGGGATTATAGGCGTATGCCACCAGGCCTAGCTAATTTTTGTATTTTTATTAGAGATGAGGTTTCCCCATGTTGGCCAGGCTGGTCTCGATCTCCTGACCTCAGGTGATCCACCTGCCTTGGCCTCCCAAAGTGCTGGGATTACAGGTGTGAACCACTGTGCCCAGCCTTCACTTAGTTATATTAAGCTATAAATTCCATGGAGGCAGAAGCCAGATTTTTTTCTTTTTTAACCCTTTTGGCCTTAGCACTTGACCCAGATCCTCACAGTAGACCTTCAGATAAATTGTTGAATAAATGACATAATTTTCCTTATAAACTTTGCTTTTTTTCACTTATATACATATTTTTCTAATACAATGATATATATAATTTGGTATTTTTTTCTTTGGAAAGAGGATTATAGCAAATACTCCTAGGTTTCCACAGATGATATAATTTTAATGACTTCATGAATTTATTTCATCAGGTTCATATACATGAATTTATGAAATAATCCCTATAGTATGTTCAGGTTACTTCTGGTTGACCCTTTACCTATTATTGTTAAGAGTACAGTAAACATCTTTCTGTATGTTTCCGTTTCCATTAAGCTTCTTACTTAAAAGTCCTCTTGAAGTCACACATGCGTGTAGTAACTGCAGATGTAGGGTTTTTAATCACTGTGCTATGCAACCTTCTAGGCAGATGTTAGATAATTTCCCCAAGTTGTAGTGAACTTGATAGCTCAACAGTGGCTTGTTTGACTCTTTCCACTTTGGCTAATTGAACATTGTTGTGCAGCTGTTGCAGATTAGATTCGAGAGGTGTGAATTGATCAGCAGGTGAAGGCTTACAAGCAATGAATATTACATTACATTCTAATGCTATATGGGCTTTGAGAAGTTAAATCTCAGGTTGGAGATCAGGAGATGAAGAATCTACACAAGTAGATATAATGTTGCTTGCTAATTTTAAATCAGGAGATTTATTTAACACCTTTGCACTGGGAATCTGATTTAAATAGCAATGCTATTAGGAAAACTTAGAGCAAAATGACTTATAAGTATAAAATATTTCTGGAACATATATTAAACATATAAAAATATAAATATGTTTCAATATCCTATTCAACACTTTTTACCCTTTACCTGATCTCCTATATACACTCTAAATGGTTAAAAATAAATTGTGTAGATAGTAAAGTAGTAGTAGTAAGAGGCTCTGAAGAATCATTGCTGACATGGAAGATTATGAGATTATCCCAAGCTGTTCTACCAAGGACAAGGAACTGGAAAATGTATCCCTGGGACTAACGTGTGTGTCTGGAGTGGGTGGAGACCAAGGATCACGCTTATCCTCCTTCACTGGCTTCAGTTCTACGTGGGAAGCTACAGCGTTTCCGCGGTCTTTGCCTTGTTGAAGCCTGAGTTCCAACGACTTCGTTGTTGCTCTGATTTAATGAAAGGGGAATGAGGCAGGGACAGCTGTGACTCTGAGCAGCGAGCAATAGCCCCACCACACTCTCAGCTGGAGTAGGCTTGAGACCTACCGATGACATAGCCACAAAATCCTGTGACTTACAAAGAAGCCCATCTTCTGTATGTGGGTCATGTCAGCGCAAAACGACTTGAAAAGTAAGACATTGGCAGGCTTTCTGTGTGTAAGGTGCGGTGGGAATGGGTAGGAAGGCAATAGGAAGATGAATAAAGGTGTCTGCTTTCCTTGTACTCACAGTGGAAGAGGATGAAAAAAAGGTTTGGGGCAAAGTAAGGAAGAGAAGGTGGTGTTACTATATCAGTGTAATTGCCTAATTATGAAAGTTGTTCTGGGAGTGTGTTTGATGTGTAGACCCATGTCTGGCCTGTACATCTGCCCCAGCCCTTCACCAGTTCCCTCTGCCCCTACCCTTTTGGCCTGTGCTTGCTGGGTTTTTTTATTTTGTTTTGTGCCAGTGACACACTGCTGGCTTGGAAGGAGGCAAAATGAAATTCGTTGTTCAAGACCCAGTGGGGAATTCCTGTGGCTCAGAGAGTAGGTCAGGACTGAAGTCCCAAGCAGGGTAATGTCCTGTACTTTTTTTTTTTTTTAGTACCTCCCTTTTCATTGAAGAGCATCAAGAGGCCATTGCCCTCCCTTCTCTAAGGATAAATGAGCTGCAGGTGAGCTTTGGCCTTTTCCCTTTCATCTGCTCACTGCAGTGCTCGGTGAGTGGGAAGTGGCCTATTGAGCCCATCCGCTTAACTTCCCACAGCTGCACTAACTGCCCACTTTGTATTTGGCTTTGGTTTTTTGAACTAAGGAAGACATTGAGTTAGGAGTACAGTGCTAGACACGTGGGGCTCAGAAATCGGTGATGGAGGGGAGGAAAGTGACTATAAACTGGTATAAGATAGATTCAAGCCACCTCTCATATCATACATTTATAGGGGTAGATCAAATACAAAAGGTACCATTATGTAACTATAATTACACAAAGTAATATGTGTGTAAATACAAAAACAATACTCATTGCATCAGTCCTGGAGCACACTCTTGCATGGGAACTGATAATGTTCCAACATGAGTTATTTGTCCAGCCTTAAAACTGTACTGATAGGAAATAAAAGGTTATTTGTGCAGAAACTAAAATCATATTCTTTTGAAAACACTGTTTATGGTGGGTTAAACGGCTGGATGTCCAAAGATACTACTATGAACCTGCCTATGAGATGGGTTGTTTAGCTACATTGATTTAGCACATTAGTATATAGGATAATAAAAGACTAAGTCTTAGCACATCACTTGAGAATTTTTTTTTTTTTTAGCACCACACCAAAGCTGGAGTATGCAAGTTACTCTATTTGGTTTTTGTATTTAGTACTTATAGTTTGAAATCATTTTAAATCAAAGATTAAAAATGAGAAGACCTCTAGGTTTTTTAAAAATTTAGATATTGTGGCCGGGTTCGGTGGCTCACTCTTGTAATCCTAGCACTTTGGGAGGCCGAGGCAGGTGGATCACCTGAGGTTGGGAGTTCGAGACCAGCCTGACCAATATGATGAAACCCCATCTCTACGAAAAATACAAAATTAGCTGGGCATGGTGGCAAATGCCTGTAATCACCCAGCTACTTGGGAGGCTGAAGCGGGAGAATAGCTTGAATCCGGGAGGGGGTGGTTGCGGTGAGCTGAGATCGCGCCATTGCACTCCAGCCTGGGCAACAAGAACAAAACTCCGTTTCAAAAAAAAAAAAAGTTAGATATTGTTAGTCAAACTGAACTAGTGCCAATAAAAATGTTAGTCATTAATATGAGGCAAAGTTTATTCATTCTATGTAATCTTGGAAACCATTGAAAAGTCCAGTTGCAATTGTGCATAAACAGCTTGGTTAGTGATGTTGTATGATGACCTAGACTCTGAGGAAAGTCTTGAACAGTATAAGCTTTGGACTCAAGAGATTAAACATTTACCAAGAAGGAGAGTCACTTTGCTAGTAAATATTTTTGGTGGAGACTTCA